ACACTTTCCACAGCTTCTTCCTTTCCACCCAGGAGCTATCACTTTTACTGGATGTGTTCCCAAACATCTGAGTTCTTTTTTGCTGAACCCACTTTCTGAGACGTTCTCCTTACATACGCTTCCTCCTTCCAAAAACATTATGGCTATTTATGAAAAAATAAAGTTTCTTAAGTAGGTAACAATATGGAAACATACTTCTAAAAGCAGCAGAACAGCATCATCAGCTCCCCAACACTGTTGTGCCTCTCTGTTGAGGAAGCAGGAAATCACATGGAGTTGCAGCTTTTACAGAGGTCTGACTAGTTGTGTTTTGCCTGTATATACAGCAGCATTTCTGTGGAGTTTAAAAACAAATCTTCCAATTTTTTATACCTCCTCACTTCAAGCTCTGGGCATGGTGTGCCTTGTCTGTTCTCCAAGAAGTCAGGTGGAATGGGATATGAAGTTACTGTCTTGAAGCATCTCTCCCATTAAAATTACATTTCTGTCTTTTTCTTCTTATCCCTTGATGTAAGGGGGACATAACCCTGAGTTCAAAAGCCTCCATACTGACTCTGTTGTATAGGTTCACTCTCAGGACCAGCTGTGTTTAAACATTTGTGAGCATCAGAAATGTACTGCACAGAATACGTGATGCAAATACTACAGTGCTTGGATTTACAAAATTAGTTTGTGTGTTTCTTACAGGTTGGAGATCTTCAGAGGAGTTATACAGCTGCTCAGAAGTCAGAAGAAGCATTTCCAGGCCATGTTGATACACAACAGCTCATCAAACAGTTAAAACAGCACTTTGCTATGCTCTGATGAACATATTTTTTATTATGTAAAAACAGCCAGAGCAAAATGTCTCATACGTCTTTTTGAAAATTCTAGGTCAAAGTAGATAAACTATACTTAATGTATTCCTGTGGCAAAGCCTGTGTTACTTTGATTAGCAGGAAAGGTTTAAGAGTCCTAATTAGTTTCTGTCATCTTAAAACATATTACTTATTAAAGTGCAGCTAGAACACATGTTGCAGCTACATACATGAGAGATTATAGGAGTGGCAGGATACTGCCAGTGTGACAACTTTGAAATAGTTGTCTGGTATATGAGCAAGTCAGTCTCCATTTAATATTAATGAACATTTTAAAGGATTTTTTTCTGACTTTTCTGCAGAAAAAGTTTTTAAATATTCCTGTGTGACAGTCTTTCAGGTAACACAGAGTAAGATCACTGCCTAACTGGCCTTCAAACTTGGCTTTTGATAGTATACTTTTTTACTGAATGTTAAGTTTTAAAACTACAATATCTAAAAATAATTTAAATACATACGTAAAACAGAAGTTCTTGTATTCCTTGTTGTACCATATGAATTAAATACATTCCAGTTTGTCTGGTTTGCCTCGTTTGTTTGTCTAAGTTAAAATTGCATCCTTATTGCCATGAAAATTAGAGTTGGCAATCTTAACGTATTTTGAAAGACTCTGCAGAACTGGTACAAAATAGCCTAAATATGTGAGTTCCTCTCTACCCAGGAGGGAAAAGGATATTTAGAAGCTTGCAGAGTTGAGTACTAATAGTTGTGAAAAAGGCATTGATTGGGTGGTTACCTGTGCTACAGGAATACTACTAATGTCAACAAAGACAGACTTTCTCTCTGTCATATATCTTTGTGTTCTAACTAAAAGGGATAAATTTGCATTATTTCCCAAACTGACCTTTTTAAAAGACCTTTAAGCAATGTGGGATGTTAAGGCATTCTGAAACGGCACATCCTGAAACAGGCCTTTAAAATCTTTTCATGTTTCTCTGATATATTAAGGGATTATCTTGTTTTAGGGAGCAACCCTAAACATGCTTATGAATATTATGTCTTCCTTTTTATTATTTCTCCTTTCCCTACCCTCATCTTTGCATAACTGTTGTAGCTGGTGAAGGCAGATGCTGGGGAGCTTAGAGAAGTGTACCCACAGGCACCCCCACAGAGCAGTCTCTAGGTGATGGTTAGAAACACCATCATTAACTGGTGTCACATGTGAAATGCAAAAGCATTATTGGCTGAATAGATGCACCATCTTTAATGGAAATTTTAACATTTCCACATTGATCTTCATAGTGTCAGAAATTTGTCACAAACTAAATAAGAGAGAACCTTAGTTATTGGTAATTTTCATTACCTAAATAAGATTTTACTTTCTGCTAAAAAGGAAGAAGTTATGGGGAAGTTCCTTCCTTTGATCTGCTGATTTCCAGTTGGCAGGGCTAAACTTAGGAAGCTACCAGAAAATAAAATGTTTTTCTTGGCAGTTTAAAGACCACTGTTGAGAATTTTTGAATGTTAATATTCTTAACTCAAAGTATTTTTAAAATTGCATAGTAAATAAGATTATTTCTACATGAACTGGAACAGAAGCTAGTAATACAACTTCAGTTTTTAATCCAGTGTGGCAGCTCAATAGTTCCTCCTAGGTGCTTGTAAGATCCCACTTACTGTGATCACTACTCAAGTTAATGATCTGAATAACTCTTCTTTTTTTGCAAACAGCACTCCTTAGAACATAGGTCTGACATAGTTATTCTTTCAATATTGGGGGATGTGTGGAGATTGAAAGGGAAAAGGCTCATGTGTAGTAAGGAATCCTTTACACAAGATGCTTGTGCAAATTAATTATTAAAAAAAAAAAAACCCACCCCACGCACAAACACACAAAGTCCTAAATAAGGATTAAAACCTTTTTAGCTCCCTAATGTGCAGCATCTGCAAGCCATTCCAAATTTATCTTACATGGTGTATTTTGATTGCCCCGAAAGGTAGCAGCTACTTGCTTTGTTGACCTTTCATGCCTCAAAGCAAGGATACGATAGTATTTTTTTCACAACTAGCACACTTGCAAATTAAATCAAATGTGGTAATAAGAACACATCACAATGAAACAACAGATGAATAAGCAGGCTGTTTGTCATGGAAGAATCTTTCGATTTTGTCGTATGTTAATTCGGTGCGAGCTCCAATGAGCAGATGAATCGGCAGGCCCTGGGGCAAACCGCCTTCAGTTAATTGAGGACGACATAGCACAACACAGTGCATCAGAATCTGTATTCATCTCTGCGGTAGGATCATGTTAGGACGGTGTGACCTTAATATTGCAAGCAGCATTTCTGTAACATAGAAATAATTTTTCCTCTAACCTGTAGCACAGCTCCAGCTATGTCCAGACAGCATTTATAAAGCCCCTTGGAAGTAGAAAATAAAATACAATGAAAGAACAACACAATTTTAATCTACAGGGGAGATGGTGTCCACAACAGTGCTGCCTGGAAGGAAGCTCAAAGCAGATTTCTGGGAGGTCTTGAGGTTTCTATGTCCCTGCAGGAAAGGTCTGTACAGTTCATGGCTGTTACCACCAGTCAGTCTTTTAACCTGGCCTCTCGCTGGGCTGCTGTAGTGCAGCCCCCCCACTCCTGAGTCGCTGGGGGCTTGGTACGGTCCCTCCCCTCCTTGGCCTCTAATCAGCCTAGGGTGAGTCAGGAACAGATTGTGAAGGCGGTGAATCCGAGCATTAAGGCAGCCCCTTATAAGTACCCGGGTCCTGCTTTCCCCAGTCGATCACCTCCTGACAACCTGGTAGCTCTGCACCTGGGCTGGAACAGTCTGGCGCATCAGTACCTGAGTTGGAACCCAAAGGGGGGTGAGTAGAAGGCACCAGAACATTTCATCATCTGAGTCTGGCTGAAATGGAAAAGTACCTGACAAAAGTCTGTTACTTCAGACCTGTGAACAGCGACCCCAAGCGAGGCCCACTGAGCTCTCCTGGGTCGCAGCGGGCTGTGTCCAGCATCTCCCTGGAGGTGGGACTCTCAGCCTCCTTAGACCAAAGAGGTTTACGGACCATCTTGCTGGCAAAGTTGATGAAAAGGCCAGGGCGAAGTCCGACTTTTTGAGGCTCAATTATCACCTGTTGAGGAACGCCGATGCATTGTGAGTGTTCACTCTAAACTTGAGAAAGAGGGAACTTTTGGTCTCTTCTACCCACCTCTCTACCTATAGGTAATTTTGTGTTTATACATATATACCTATATATTAACGTAGGCTACCTTGTAAGTTAGTGTGAATCTTTGCCATTCTCAAATCTGTAATTAATTGGCTGTTTTAATCATAACATATTTCACTGAATCACCTTGTTAATCTTTAAATTGGTTAATGATTAAGTGCGGCTAAAATTTAACCTTTGATCTACCTCACACCATTAATAAATCTTAAATTGCTGCTAAATCATAACCATGTGAAATATTTCATCTGCAACATGGGGTCTTTCTGATGGATGAACCCATTTAAAAGTTGATAATGAAGGGTTAGGTTATTAGCAGATTTTGATTCTTTTGCAAAATGTTACAGCCACAGCACCAGCCACGAAACTGCGGCTGAAATTAATCAGAATTCACAGTTAAGGGTTGTGGATCGTTTTGGCTGCAAAAAGCATCCTCTGAGGTTGTTGGGCAGGGCAAGGAGCAGTTTGCCATTAGGTGCCAGTTCAGTCACTGTGAGACTTTGGATAATGATCCCATTTTGCTGTTGTTGCGGATGGTTTTTTTCTTTGATTGCTTCCTATCTAGGCTAGAGGGAGAGATTTTTGGGTCATTCAGTCTGATCTCTGATATGACACAGGCCAAACGTTTTAAGCCAAGAGCTTTTTTTAACAAACCCAGTTTGTGCTTGACTAGCGACTACCTGCCAGAGCAGCAGCAAGTTTAGGTACAAAGAAGCTACAGCATCTTCTGTGAAAGATTTTGTATTTCATCTCTCACTACCACATGTTTGTCTTCTTTCTGACGGATGATTTCAAGCTCATTCATGTCCCCTCTCTACCCGCCCAACCAGTGGGTTCTCATTATACCCCAGCACCAGCAGCTGAACCATCATTAGGATCTGCCACAGCTGAGTAGGACCATGGCCATTTTGCCTCCTTTAGGCAATACCTACTTTGCCTCTGTCACCAGAGCTGTCACCAACATCTGTGGTGGTTGTTTTTGACCAAATACACTGTTTCCCTACCATAGAGGGCACAAAATAGAGAGCTTAGAAGAACCCTTTGCACCAACCCACATGTCTAAACTAGGACATGCCGTTTTACCCCGAACAGGAGGAAGCAGTTGCTATGAAAACTTACAGGCAAGTACCAGCTGTGCCCCTTCAGCAGGGACAGAACGGGACAGTCCGAAATGCAAGTTCAAGATAAGTGCAGGGGGAAAGCATCTGCCTACCAGGAAAATAATAAGCTGAGTAAAAGGCTTTGTGAGATCCCACTCAATTCCTCACCTAATCCAGAGGCAGGCTCACATTGCCATTTTAACATTTTTCCAGGTGGGAGACATTTCATGTTGAACACAGCAATATAAAAAGTGGGGCACGAAGCCACTGTGGAATCAGTCAAAGAAAGGGCGAGCTTTCATCAGAGGGCTGGGGTAAGAGGCAGCTCACACAATTTTCTCTGCTTGTTGGAATTTATTTAAGGTCTAGGGCAGCTGCAGACTTCCAGTTCCCAGCAGATGCCTGTGTGTACACACATTGCAGTTTTTCACCACCAAGCTCTGTGGGCCACAGAGTAGTATTTTACTGACATCCCAGCCATCACTGGGAACAAGTGAGCAGATGGCAGATGCAGAATGCAAAATGCATTCTCTATAAATAAAAACAAAACTAAGTTTCTGTTTGTGCCTTAGAATATGAATGAATCAAAAGCCAAGAAACCCTGATAGTCAAGTCATAGACAGACTTGCATTTCCAGCCACTCTCCAATAGCATTTGAATTCCTGTGCTGGTAAAATAGTTCTGTTACTAATTTCCCTATTCACGTTTTCAGAGTTCGGGAG